GGTTTAGGGTTTAGGGTTGACTGTGTTGGGTTTTGGGGGGTTTTGGCGGAGCTTGTCTGGAATTCCCCTGATAAGGCCCTTTGTTATGCCCGCTGAACGATTCATATGTCATTTGCCACAATTCTGTCTTGTGTGCTTCTTCGGGGCTCTTAGGGGGCATCAGGCGTTAATGATACGCGTTCGCGCGTTATGGAACTCGTGGATAAGATGATCAGAGCTGGAGATCTTTGGATTTTTTTGCATTCGCAGGAAGGCTGTTCTTGCTACCCTGAAGGGCGACCTTCCCGAGAAGCTGCAAGAATGCGACAATGATCGTTGGTCTTGTGAAGATGCATACATTTGGGATCTGTGTGAGGGTTTCGCAGAGAAGTACGTATCCCCGATCCGTGGGATTCTTCTTCGCTCCTAGCTACTCTTGCCAATGCAACTTCATTGTTGGCACCCAGTGCGCATGTTTCATTCATTTGTGCGGCTTTGCAGCATGCTAAATCCCTGCTGGAGCTTCGGCAAACAAAAACCCAAGCTATTCTGAAGGTGTGGGGGATCCTTTTTCTTAGAAGGATCCTACTATTTACTTTGTGTTTCGACGTTCCGTTCTAGTCGGAAGCTCCTAATCGGAAGCTCATACATGAGTTGGGCCGCCAAGCGCATCTTACACATGCTGCCGAAACAATAGCAGGCTCCCTTGCGCATATGAACCGCATGTTGCCATCAATGCCGGCCTTCCTGCTAAGTCGGGATGTCCGTGGTTATCTGCTGATAAAGTATCTTAGATGTGCGTAGACCAGTGCCCAAGATGTTCAGTTCACCGGTCCTTGAAACTTACACTGCAGGTTCGCAATGCATCCTCCTACGTGGCTGCACAGACACGCTGGAACAAAGTACTATGATTCTCATTTTCATGTGCATTCTTACATTCTCTCATATACATGCATATACGTATCCATAAACATATACATGTACATTTACATATGTATACATGCATATGTATGTATATATGGGCGTAACATATGCTTACACGTGTGCAGTATGCATCTACGCCTTGATTGATTTGTTTTTGTTTCTGTGTCCCTCGCCAGGACCATGGCTGGGAGGCTGGTGCAGCGCTGCTCCAGCCGTGGGCCAGAAAAACCCTCAGCATCTTAGGTTCCTGAGTAGTAACCACTTTTGCCATTGTGTTTTTTTTGGGGGGAGGGGGTCGTTAAAGGGCTCCCTAAAGGATTCTATATAGGTACAGGACCTGGGATCTATAGGATTTATTTGTACATTATGCGCATTGCAAGTTTGGTTGATAGGACTTCGTACCCTTTTGCCCTTGTTCCTGTTGGGTTCCCTTCATTCAAACCGAATAGTAGGACAACGGGTACCTTTATAATGATGGGGCTGCTGGGGAAGCTAGGCATTCTGGACGTGAGCTGTGGCTTTGGACTCAGCTCCATTGCGGCGGCGCTCTCGGGGCACAATGTCACGGCCACGGAGATGTCCCACCAGTTGTTGCGACCTGCACCAAAAAGCCCTAAACCCTACAAGCCCTAAACCCTAAAACCTGCACCAAAAACCCAAAACCCAATAAGCCCTAAACCATATATAAAACCTGCACCAAACAATCCCTGAGTGGGGCTAGCCCTAGACCCGAAACATCCCGAAATTTGGGCTTGTCTTAGGGAGACTAGCTAGTGTCCACCAGGGCGTCTTAGCGCAGTCGCAGGCATCTGCAAAGCGTCCCCGGTGTGGGTGTGAGGTCTAGACTCGGTTCGGGGCCCAGGACGAAATCCAACCATTCAGACACAGTCAAGCAGACTTTAACCCCCTGCCTGAACACGAAATGAACTTGTTATTGTGTTTTTGCATGACAACTTCTTGATGTATTTCATCAGCCAAATAGTTTTCTCGAAGTCCTATAGATCCTCTCCAGGCAGCTTGCTGGGCGAAACGCCCAGCGGAATCGAGCACCGATGCGTCTGCGGCGATGGAAGCTGCTAAGAGACGCCGCGCCCGTGCCGCTGCCAGGTCTGCTAGGGACCTCCAGAGTCACCATGAGTATCATTATGGGAGCTAATAAATATATGTATATATAAATATAAATATAAGCACAAGTATAAATATAAGTATAAGTATAAATATAAATATAAGTATAGATATACATAGATAACTCTACATATATATATATATACTCATTTATTCATGTATAATTAGTTGTGTTATTTGTGTTGGTTTTGATTTTGGGGGCTGAAGGCTGCAGGGCTTTGGGGATTATTGGAAACGGCTAGGAGAATGAGGCTTGGGGGATATTAGAGTGCACAAGAAAGCTTGTAAGCATTCACCTCTTTGTCCTTCGAGGATCTTCTGAGTTCAGAAAAAGGGGCCTGGATAGTGACCAATACGACTCCTTCGGGTTCTTGACTTGATATGTTTATACTGTAACATACCTCCACAACTCTAGTTTAATTTTACAGATCCTTAAAGTAAACATTAAACCCTACCCCGCCCCTCTTGCACCCTTAGCTTCAATAAATCTCGTTCTATCATAGCAACGATTAAGGCCCTTACATTACCCCAGATTGCCTGTCCCTGCGCAGTCGATGAGCGTGGCCATCCAGACTATGCCTTCGACCTATGTTTGGTGGACGCCAGGCTGCGATTAACATCGGTTAATGTAGAGACCTTAACAATTAGAAGAAGTTTTGGGTATACTTATACTCTACCCAAAATGATGTATGTTATAATTATTATAATAAGGAACCCCCAAAATAGTATGGGTAATTATTCAGGCCGCTGTGTTATCATTGGATATACGGCCTCCAGGGTCCTCAGGTGCCACTTAGGGTTTAGGGTTTAGGGCCTATAGGGTTTAGGGGGTTTAGGGGTTTAGGCTAGGGTTACCCTGTAGGGTTTAGGGAGAGAGACGCCTCCACAAATCTCTTCGCTAAGAGCGTTCAGGTTGCCTTGTCTTGGTCCAGGTCATTTCAGGCGGGTAGGAGCCTTACAGAAGGTCTATATACTTTATAGAAGCCTTATAGAAGATACCCTAAACCCCCCACCTGTAGTTTCCTTTAACCAGGGTTCGGGCTGGAAGAACTCCCGGCCCCGTCTGACGCCATTCCTACTATGACGCATGTCTTCGTCACGACGTAAATCTTGATTTCAAGACCCTGAAGAGAGAAACCTCAAGACCCCCCAAAAACCCGAAACCCGAAACCCTCATCCTAAACCCTAAACCCCTAAACCCCTAGACCCTTAAACCCCTAAACCTCACTAAACCTCTAAACCTAAACCCCAAACCCTCTATAGATACCCCCTAAACCCGAAACTGCGACTTCGACCCCCCCTTAAAAAGGCTCAGATCCGGCAGGGGAGGGGTGATCAGGGGGAGGGGTCCTTCAAACTCAGGGATCTCCGAAGCCCAAGCGGGGTAATTAGTTCTCTAAATCAGGGTCCCTTTTTGGGGTCCTTTTTCACGTTTTAGGGTTTAGGGTTTTGGGTTTTTCCAGGGTGGCGTACAATTGTGGGGAGCTTAAACAAAGGGACCCTAAGAAAGAAAGAACTACCCAAGTGCCGTTCAGCCTTTCCCCTTTTCGGCCCAGGCTTTTACCATCTTGTCGCCCAAAAAATCCCGAGGTACTGCAGCTAAACTGGCCCACCCCCGGAATCCCTGAACCCTAAACCCTAAAACCCTAATCCCTGAACCCTTAAACCTAAACCGACACTCAGAAGACGAGGACATTACCTGGGCCGGCGCACGATTTCGTCAGATTCAGCAGGGAGGCGTCCGAGAGGAGCGCAGGATGCCATGAAGGATTCGTTAAAAGGGTTCTTAAAGGTGTTTTATATGGAGCTCTACAAGGGTTCCTAAGGGGGGTCCCCTACGAATTCGATGAGATTCCGAGATGGCTCAGGGTTTCGGGGTTTTGGGTTTCGGACTAGAGGAACCCTCTTGCACTTAAGTACCCGCAGGGTCCATGTGTACCCACATAGTATATAGAACGGCCTTATCATGTAGTCCCTCCGAAGGTCTTTTGGGTAAAAATAGCGATTTGGGTACCCCTAAACCTCAAAGCCCACACCCCCAAACCCTAAACCCTAAACCACAAACCCCAAACCCTAAACCCTAAACCCCAAACCCCAAACCTTGAGCCCAAACCCCAAACCCCAAACCCTAAAGCCTAAACCCTAAACCCAAACCCAAACCCCAAACCCTAAACCCCAAACCCCAAACCTTAAACCCTAAACCTCGACCCCCTAGGGTTCTGAAGGCCACGGAGGTAATCCGAAGTGTGCTCCGCAGGAAGAGTTGGAGCCCACCGTGGAGGCTCCATCTGAATTTTGGCGGCTCTCTAAATTAGGGTTTAGAGTTTAGGGTTGAGGGTTTAGGGCTCTTGTTTTTTAAGTGTGCTGTACTATGTTGGGGCCCTAAAAAGGGACTCTAACATAGAACACTACCCGAATAGCTGCACATTTCGCGTCAGGGATGGTTTGGAGGATCATACGCCAGGGTCTAGGGGTTAGGGTGCAGGACAGGGTTTTTGGGGTGGAGGGTTTAGAGTTTAGGGTTCAGGGGTTAGAGTTTGGGGCTTCAGGGCTTCGCGTGTTTAGGGGAAGCAGTTTACAGGCTTTTGGGTAAAGGAGTAGGGTTTATGGTTTCGGGTTCAGGACCATCAACCCCCGATGAATTTCAAGCAGGGTTATAGGTATGGTACACCAGTGAGAAGATGATTTCAGCCCAAAGGAATGAGCTTGTAATTCTTTACATCCAGCTGCCAGCTTACAAGCTCCAAGGGCTTAGAAAACAAAACCTTAGTGAGTCGCCTTTTAGTGTTAACATGGCCCTTGCGCTCTTATGGGAAAGCTGCAGCTCGGCATTTCTAACCTCAGCTATTCAATCCCGTGATCCTTTCTGCATACCCTATATAACGCGTTTAGAAGTACCTTATGGAACCGTCATGAAACCTTATGGCTCACTTACCAAGTCTCTCTTAGCAAAGCCCTTACAAAACCCTACATACTCCGAAAAAGCCCGCCCATTATGGTTTGATTCGGGCCCCTAAACCCTGAACCCTAAACCCTAGCAAGTTGGGAGTTGCGGAATCATGCCACAGCGCGCAGCTCCTTCAACGAAAGCATCAATGGTCAATAGCCGTCTTCGAAGGTGAGCCTTGACAAAGCTGTGTGTTAAAGGCCTTTAAACATGCAAAAGGGGCTTGAGAAACTCATAATGCAGGTCGGGGAACCTTTAAACGTCCTAAACCACCGGAAAAGAAAAGTCGCCTAGACAAGCTCACCAAAGGCACCGCCAGCTGAACTTCCCTTGCAGGCCATTCTCACCGACGCGCTGCGCTGGCTGCAGCGTCGCGGGGGCTGCGGTCTCCATGCGTTCCTTTGGCGGATACTAGCACATCTCGGGACCAAGGCCACACAGAAGCTACTGCAACGGACCTGCGCCTTTATATCGAGAAGTATATATTAGGGTTTATAAGGGTTTAATTAGGGTAGTTGCCTCACCAGCTGGGCTACCACAACATGTTTGCTCAGGAGCTCAGTAGCTGACTTTTGTCCTTTTGGGTTATATACTCGCGCCATACACAGAAGGTCCACCCTTGTGAGAGCCACCGAACTCGGCAACCAGTGCGGTTTCATCACCTTGAAAAGGGGCAGCCAATGTAAAGCGCCCAGGTGGAGGGAGCTAGGGTTGGATTTGAATCGTCACTGTTGCTCTAGCGAGGATTTCACAGTCTGTTATTATCATCGCATATCTATGGTTTCGGTTTAATTTCGAAGTTATTGTTGGATTTGTTGGTTTCTCAATTCTGTGTTCTTCATGTGTTGATGCATGTATGCCTTCAGGTCTTTACGCAATTGTTTTTTGGTATAACTCTCCGGTTCATGTCAAACAAGTTCATTCTAGTTGCCACTGGGTTTTGCAGGGTTTTGTAGTTGGGGTTCATCGGGCTTAGGGCTGTTTTCGTCTTCGGACTTGGTGAATACGGCTCCTCGAATCGCGAGTGCTATGCAACCTGCTAGTCACTGTACTGCCAGGGCATGAACGGTTAGAACTATTATTTCAATATTTGTTACTTTGATACAAACGTAGCAGCTGAGTAGGTAGCCTTTCACCTCATGGGCCTCTTGGCGTGTAGATAGCCCCACTACTAGTATATCTTAGAAGGGTAACCTTGTCGGGGGATACCCAGCCCCTAATCAACGTCTCAGATCCTGCATCGGCTTGCCTACATGTACATAGGCCGTGCGTGAACAGTGTTTTATTTTTCTGGGTCTGTCTTCATATCTGCATGCGTGGATGGATGCATGAAAAGACCCTAATTGTCTTCGGAACCCTCAAACTGTAGGCTCCCCTCCTCCTGCCCCCCTCAGCCTCTTCCGAAAGAATCCAGGTTCATCGGGCACACCGTCGTCCATGGAGCTCCAGCCACGGATGGAGCGGCCTATGCTTTCGACAACTACACGGCGGAGCTTGTCCGTGACTCTGAAGCAAGATCCTACACCTATCTTACACAGAGTGGTCGGAATATTCAGGAATACTGTTGATTATATAAATTATGGTATATTCCTTATTATCAACCGTAGTATCCTCGCAGTCTCTATGCAACCATCCGATTAAAAGGGGCCTCAAGACCCCAGTCGACTTGCTAAGGCCCCGTTTTAAGGGAGACCCAGACGAGGATTGGGCCGAGAGCCTAGGAAAGAAGTAGCTTCTCTGAGTTTTGGGAAGTTGAAGCATTAACCTGTGGCTGTTGCTTGTCAATGTGTTTTCGCGCTGGCGCTCTAGAGCTTAGAACCCCCTGGAAGGGAACCCTCTAAGGCCCCTTTTTTGGCGTCCCCGGGAGCCAGGTGGTTTGGAGGAGTTCGGCAGCGAGTTCCGAGTTGGCCTCTCGGATTTCATGGGGACTTAAGCTTGATTTGGGTTTAGGGGTTTAGGGGTTTAGGAATTATAATAGGAGTTTAGGGGTTCAGGTGTATAGGGGTTTCTACAAAAGGGTGTCTATAAGGGGCATTTTAAGGCCTTTAAGGGCTGTGTAGGGTTCTATAAGGGTTTAGGCTGCTTTGTTTTGGGCTACGAAATGCTTTCGGGCTAGGGCTAGGTACGAGGTTTCAGCGATTGTCCAAGCACCGCTTTGATGGAAGCCTGAGGACGTGAGCTTCGAAAGCCTGTGGTGAGTCCATTGGGCTGGCTTCTCGCTCGAAGAAGGCTTTAAAAGCTGTTAAGGGTTTAACAGTTTAGAAAAGAATCCCGGGGCTCCATGGAAACGGGATTTTGGGCTGATTTAGGGGTTTATGTAGGGCTTTAGAAGGGGTCCGTGACGGAGTTTAGGCTAAGGCCCCCAGCCTTCAGACCCTTTCGACTGTCAGGGCTGCCTGTCTAGCCGGAGAAGTGGGCAAAAGGCATGGTATCTACGGGTTTCTGTGAAACCTGGCAGGGTTTAGGGTTAGGGTGTTTCATTGTTCAGCTTTGAAGGAACCACCCTAAACCCTAAACCGACTTGCCCGACCCTTTATATAGGAACCTTTCAAGAAAGCCCTTAACGGATCCCTGTCATGGTTTCGACATGTTCAAGGCGAAAGATCGCAGAGAGCCCGCAAACCTTCGAAGAAGGGTTTGGGGGTTTTGGGGTTTAGGTGTTTAGGGTTTAGGGGCTGCAGGTTTAAGTTTAGGGTTGTCCTGGGATTTAGGGTTTAGGGTTTAGGGGCTGCAGGTTTAGAGTTGTTCTGGGATTTAGGCTTGCAGCGCATCGCCGGCCTCAAAACAAGGCACGCCAAGTCTGCACCGATCCCACTGCCCCGGAAAGAATAAACCTGAAAGCCCGAAAAAGAGATCAGAGTTTAGGCTTATGTAGGGCCTAAACCCTGAACCCTGAACCCTAGTTTAGGGTTTCAGGGTTTATAAACCCTAAACCCTATTCTCCCTAAACCAAGCCTAAAGGCTAAACCCAAAAAAACTGGAATCCAATACTCAGCTCAGGCTCGAGAAGGTGGGATGGACACCGCCCATTTGGTACCACCTGATCCTGTGGTAACGAAAAAAGGCTTTGGTGCGCGCTGGCTTTGGGAAGTCATATTTACGGACTAGCTCCGGGCCTGCTCAACCCCAAAACCTGAGCTCTAAGCCCAGACCTAAACCAAGCAGGGCTGCTGTTGTTTGGGGGGGGGGTTCTTATATTGAGGATCCATCCCCGTCTTTAGATTCGGAGTATGGGGTGCGCATCCGCAAAGTACCCTAAACCCCTAAACCCTAAGCCCCTAAACCATTCAAACCCTAAGCCTCTACACCCCCTAAATCGCAAAGCCCCTGAGCCTCCAAACCCCAAAGCCCCTAAACCCCAAAACCCCAAAGCCCCTAAACCCCAAAACCCCAAACCCTAAACCCCTAAACCCGAAGCCTTAAACTCCCCTCAGCCGTACCTGCGCCCACAAGCCGACAGCAGGGACTGCGCCTGGCCGCGCCCTGCCGACCACCATTGGCCGCGTCTGACTGCCAGGACTGGCTCAGTGGGAGCATCGGAGGCTTGAGAGGATTCTTGCTTGGGGTTTAGGGTTTAGGGCGTTTATATAGGGGTAAGGAAGTGGTCTAAAGGAGTTGTCGGTCGTAGGGGTCGTGTACTGGGCTTTTAAGGAAGTTTTCTAAGAGGGTTTTAGGAAAAAGCTTTCTTCATAGGGGTCTTATACTGGTTTTAAGGTAGCTGTCCAGGCCCGCCAGTAGCACTCTTCTGTCCTTTCTGTTTCAGTGTCCCCAGTCATTCCTATTCACACTACAGTGGAAACAGGGTGCCATCATGATGCTGGGGGAAGTCAGGTAGCTTTGCGTTTCCGAAGGAATGTAGGAGTGGGGTTCATGAGTTCATGGATTGTGGATACTTCGTATGGCCACAGCGGTATTTTCAGCCCATCGGTGCGCTCTAGCAGTGTTCGAATATATTATTCTTGGTAGTAGTAGTAGTAGTAGTAGTAGCAGCAGCAGTAGCAGTAGCAGTAGCAGTAGCAGTAGCAGTAGCAACAACTAATTTTGGAGTTGTTGTCAGTTTCAGTCTCTTTTTCGTTCAACATCGCTATATAGTTAGCCGAAGTCTTGTCTCGCCGCCGTTAGTCTTGGTGACTGCCTACTACGGATACTGGAGTGTCATGGTATGAACATGTGAACAACTTGTTAAAGGGTTGGCGAATGTTTCCGTGCCAGGAGCCACTTCCTTGCCGCGAGCCGTGCAGCCAAAAGAAGCTGGCACTGCGTGAAAATGGGACCGGCAAGCCTGTGGCTTCGGGGTGTCTTGAGGTGTTGATTACTAACAGAAGCCCAGAAAATCAGTTATACTGTCATTCTTCCGGGGGTTCGTGATTGTACTACAACATCCGCCGAGATCCAGTTAGAAGTTTCGCGTCGTCCGCCTCGAGGGCGAGGCGAATTTTTATCTGCTGTCTTACCGGGGTCTAAAGATCTAGAGAACATGAGAGCTGCCTCGTAGCGGATGTTGGCAGAAAATGAAGGACTGCCTCACCATTTATAGCAACTGTCAGGTTGAACCTTAAAACCTCACAACCCCCATGAAGACTGATTGAGGGGTCCCTATAGACAAGAAGGATGAGACAATTTGGGAGCTACACTGCGGTCATTTATTCTTCGGAAGATAATAATAACGATTATCGGCTGTAGGCTTGACAAGTGCAAGGTCCTGCTTGCAATTGGCAAGTCGACATCTTATTTAAATACAGTTCAAGAGGCCCCACAAAACCTTTCGCCTGCGACAACTCAATTTTGCGCAGATAGATGGGCTTCCGAGTGGTCGCTTCGAAGCGGATGTGACTTTCTCCAAAAGCACCCGGAGAGCAACCCCGGACGTGGTAGCATGCTTTGCAAAAAAAGCACCAAGCCAGAACCCCAGTTTACAAGGCTTGAGAGTGACTAACTTGGCAAGGGCTTCTGGCACCCTAAATACATAAACCCTACAGCCTAGACACCGACCATAAAAGTGGGAGAACCTTACAGTACAATGAGCACTTCTTATGAAGGGGTTTGTAATTTGAAACTTCATATACCCAACGTTTCAAGAGCATCTGCAAGCCCTGAAGACTAAGCCCAAACTCCTAGCTGGGACTTTCTTCGGCGGGTGTTCTCGGGCTGGACAAACTTCAGCAGTCCACAAGAAAGCTCGAACCCACAAGTTTGGTGTACCCCACCTATAGTCTCCATTGTAGTTCCTTTCTTTGGCTTAACCAGTCCTATATTGAGGATCCTAAAAGGTAACCCCAAAAAAGGAAGTACAATGGAGACATTCAGCCCTGAGCACTTCCCAGAGCACGAGATCATTTTGGGGATCACGGGGGTCGGTATATGACCCCTAAACCCTTGTAAACCCCTGTAAACCCCTGTAGCTTGGACCGTGCTGCCGCTTCAGAGTTTCAGGGATTGGGGTTTAGGGTTCACGGTTTAGGGTTTAGGGTTTAGGCTTCAGGATTTATTTATAGGGTTTAGGGGTTTAGGGGTTCAGGGGTTTAGGGGTTCAGGGGTTCAGGGGTTTAGGGTTCAGGGGTTTAGGGTTTAAACCCCTATAAACCCTAAAGGTCCCCGGCGCTTTTGTCTTAAGGTCGCACGGAGAGGCGATCGGGGCGGCAAGAAGGGCCAGACGACGGAGAAGGCGCTTCTTCAGGAGTCAAGATCCTAGGCAGTATTAGGGAGGCCCCTTAAAGGGGACCCTTCTGAACCCTACTTGTGGCTCTCTTAAAGAGGACGGTCTATATCCCCAAGGGTCCCCCTAATCCTAACTCCCACAAGACTGACGGTTCTGGGGAGTTCGCGTCTGCGGGTTTAGGGTTTTAGTTTCTATTGTAGCTCCTTCTGACTTTTTACCAATCTAGAGTTTGGACACAAGAAGGTATTTGCAATGGAGACTATAAGCAGTTCAACCTTCAGGCCTAAATGCGAGACCTGTAACTGAACGGCAAAGCATCTCCTGATCCGACACCAAAAACACTCAAGATCCCACAAGCACACTGTAGTGATGGAGATGGGAGCTGTCCTTAAAGTTGAGCGTACAACATCCGCGGGGTTTCTGGGGCAGTCCTCCGTGATGGGCTCAATGTTGTGAACGCGGCAGCCAAGCCCTAAAGCCCTAAAGCCTAGAGCGTTGTCGCGGCTAAAGTTATAAAGTGAGCCACAAAATACGGGCAGCTCTTTGCTGCTGCGCCAGCGTGTGCTCTTGGAGTTTGCTTGTCCCGCAGAGTCGGGATCTGGAACAAGACCTTCATACCTAATGTTATATATGTAGAGCATGTGCATCTATGTGTACTTGTATGTATCTAAATGCACATATATATATATATATGGTCGCCCCGCCCATGACACGCACCTATCCATAAAACCTCGGCA